GGCACAATTCACAATTGCGAAGATATGGAATCAGCCTAAGTGCTCATCAAGCACATAAAGAAAATGTGTATATACATACCATGAAGTACTACTTAGCAATAAGAAAGAATGAAATAATGTCTTTTGCAGCAACTTGGATGAAACTGGAAGCTTTCTACTTCTAAGTGAAGTAACTCAGGAACAGAAAAATAAACGCCACATGTTCTTACTTATAAGTGGGAGCTAAACTATGGCTACACAAGGGCACACAGAGTGGTATAATGGATATTGGAGACTCACAAGGAGGGATGAAAAACTATCTGTGGGGTACAATGTACACTACTCAGGTAATGGGTACACCAAAAGTCTAGACTCCAACAATATACAATACATACATCGAATGGAATTCAATTTGTACCCCCTAAATCTATTAAAATAAAAAAAATTAAAAAGTCTTAAAAGGAAGAAATTACACTTTCAGCCAATATGTTAGACTTTAAGAAGACTTCTTCATTTGGGGTGGAAGCTCCTTTCATAAGAAGTTTCCCTGAGAAATTGAAATTCCTCAAGTCTTGAGTGAAGACAGACTTAAATGTACACCTTAAAATGGCAGGCTGGGCGCAGTGGCTCAAGCCCGTAGTCCCAGCACTTTGGGAGGCTGAGGCAGGAGGATGGCTTGAGCCTCGGAGTTTGAGGTTGCAGTGAGCTATGATCACATCCTACACTCCAGCCTGGGTGACAGAGCAAGACTCTTTCTCAAAAAGCAAGACAAACAAAAAAAGAACTGTATCTCATGTTTTACCACAATTAAAAATATTAATAATAAACAGAAGAGGGAAGACAGGTTTAGGACTGATTTTGAGGTTAAACATGAAGACTGTTCTGTCATCAGACACTTCCTGGTTTGGGCTAGAGGCCAGCCCTTGGGAAGACACTCCAGGCATGCCGAGTACCATCACCCTGTGGAGAGGAACACTTGTAAAAAGGCCACGGTGCAAATCTAGGATACACCTGGGCTGCTGGAGTGGGGAACAACAAAGTTAGGAAGATGATGAGGGCCAGGGTTGCTGAACTGCATCACAAGACCTTCTGCCCCTCTGGGCTGACATGGACAGGAAGTCCTGCTGGCTGGAGCTGCTGAGAACGGGGTGAACTCAGGCACTG